TTAGAGATTAGAATCAAAAGACCTTTAGTGATGAATATAGTTAATATTCATGAAGAAAGTAAATGGGCTATTAGTAAGATTTCCAATTTCTCTTTCAGCATTGGAGAAGTTGAGATCCCTATCGACGTAATCGTAATGGATGCCAACTTTTATAGTGCAATTGTTGGCAATGATTAGCTTGCTAAAGTAAATATAGCCATCAATTAGAACTCATCGGAGATGATAATTATTTGGGACAACAAAGAAATTACAGTTCCAGTTAAATTTAGGAAAATGTTAAAAATCTCATTAGAGAAAGAATGACTAGTAGTGGTTAAAAAAATTAAGGAAGAGAAAGGAGGAATTGAAGAAGATTTGGAGGAAGAAAATGAAGAAGAAGAATTAGAAGAGCAAATATTTGCTTATTCTGAAATAAAAAAACTATTAAACGAGAGAGAAATTGTTGAAGGGAATAGAAAAGATTTGAAGAGTGGATAGAATATAGTGAGGATGAACTAGTATGGAATAGTGAAGGAGGGAGTGAGATTAATCAAGATGACAAAGAAGGAAACAGATATCAAGAGTTGTGGTCAGTAATATATTTAAAGACTCAGTTGGAAGAACATAAATATATCCTTGATCTTTTCGATTACTATTATAAAAATAAGATCCCAACAGGTAAAGAGTATAAGACCAGGGACTTAGATGTAGACCAGAAGAACTGATTGTAGCTTTTATTAGACGAATATGAGGATCTTTGCACACAAAGCCTTAATGAGCTAGGACAAAGTAATATTATCCGCTACCAAATTCCAACTAAAGATGTATAGTCTATCAGACAACATCTATACTATTACTCCCTGGCAGAAAAAAAGTTTTTGAAGGAAGAAATTAAGACTATGTTGGCTGAAAATATTATTAGGCCTTCAAATAGCCCATGGACCTCTTCTGTAGTGCTTGTGAAACAGAAAGCCTAAAAAATGTAGCTTTGTATTGACTATCAGAAGCTTAATACTATAACAATAAGGCATAATTACTCTTTACCAAGAGTAGATAAACTTTTAGATTCTTTAAATGGATTATCGTGGTTCACTACTTTAGACCTCACTAGTGAATACTAGCAGGTCAAAATGTTGAAGAAAAATAGGCCAAAAACTGCATTCATTTCATTTTAGAGCATTATCAAATTCAATGTAATGCCCTTCGGCCTTATGAATGCTCTAGCAACTTTCCAAAGGCTGATGGACAAAATCTTTGGAGACATCCTTGGGAAATTTGTCATTATATATCTTAATGATTTGAATATATATTCTAAAACCTTTGAAAAACATCTGAATTACTTGCGGGAGGTTTTAGAAAGGATATGAAGATCAAACATGAAGATTAAGTCTTCAAAGTATTTTTTCTGTAAAAAGAGACTTAAATTTCATGGGTATATTGTAAGTGTCTAAGGTATATCTACAGACCCTGATAAAGTTTGGCTGTTCAAGAATTCTCTATACCAAGAAACCTCAGACATTTGCGAGAATTTTTAGGGTTGGTGTCCTACTATTGACAGTTCATTGCCAGATTTACTAATATTACTAGCCCTCTAAATACTCTTTTAAAGAAGAATGCAGCATATTATTGGATGACCAAGCAACAAGAGGCATTCAAGAAGCTTAAAGGAAAGCTTATAGTCACTTCTATTCTAG